CATAGAATCTCAATCCTCATCCCAACAATGGATGAAACTGAACTAGAAGATGACCCTTCTGAGGCACTTCAACTCAGAAGACCCCGAACCAAACATCCCAAACCAACAATCTTAACAACATCAGCAATTGACAAAGTGTTGTCTGACATTGATCAACACACTTCTGATCACTCCTCCATCAATCCAAACTCTGAACCACAAATTGTCCCTTCTCCACAACCAGAACAACAGCAAGCTGCTGAAGAACCAGAACAACAACAACCTCTCTCATCCATTCCAGAAGAACCTCTTATCCCTGAACAACCAGAAATTCCAACAACTTCTCCATAACCAGCAATTCAGTCTCCCTCTCCTCAACCAGAAATTCATCCACCATCACCTCAACCTGAGTTTCATCACTCTGAAACTCCAACTCCTCCACCTTCTGAACCTCATTCACCTCAACCATCACCTCTGGCAATCCAGCTGCCATGTGGAACAACAGTCACAATGGCCTAGTTGCCAACCTCACCAGAATCTACACCACCAAATACTCCCAAAACACCAAACAGTCTAATCATTATCTCTGATTCTCCCACTCCATCTCCAAAACAAACAGCTCCCAAGCAAACCACCGAAAACCCCAGCAGGACCTTCATAGACTTAACAATCTTTGACCGTCTTGTTGATCTGAAAAATAAAATAGCCATTCCAAAACCAAAACAACCAGATGTTGGCTCTGGTATTATGAATTTTGAAACAGGTTTGCAGCAGTGGATTGCTTCTCTGAAGCAAGTCTGTCCTGGAATGATTGACCCAGCTGCCTCTGACCAACTCTGGTCACAATTCAGAATTTGGGTACGTGTTGAAGCCCTCAAGTTGCAGGATATCAACTATGAGCAGGCACAATAGAACTTCAGCAAGCTGCTGAAGGAAGTTGAAAGTCAGCTGCCACAGGAAGACGTGCTCCCTTTGGATAGTGAGCCATGGTCTGAGAAACAGCTAGCTTCAAAGGTGCAACCAGAAGAAGACAAGACTATTCAAGCTGAAGCAAGTCAAGCAGAAGATGGTGCAGAAAGCTCTCAGAAGCTCCCTGCTTCTGATGTTTCTCAAGCTGCCTTGGACAGGCAGACTCTGGAAGAACTAAAGCTGAATGACATGCGTCTGCAGCAAAGGATGGATGAAAATGACCAGAAGATGAAAGAAAGGATGGATGTGCAGGATAGCAAGATAGACACAGTTGTCAGCATGGTACACAAGCAGAATGAGACTGCTGATCAGATCAAAGCCATGCTGGAGAACCTGTTCACACGCCTTCCTCCCCAACCTTAGTTTTTCATTCATGTCATTTTCATGTTTTCTTTGATTATCTGTTGTACTGTTTTGTTTGATTCTGAACCTTTTAATATGACAAGTTTTTCTGCCTTAAATGTTTTAGCACATCACTTACACTTTTTGATTGCTGACAAAAAGGGGGAGAACAAGAATGATATTTTTTAATAATAACGAATTACTAAGACAGAAATTCTCGAACATTCTAACTCTGATATACTTGAATATGTTTTCTGTTTTGCTTAAGTCTACAGGTACAAGAAAGCTCCATGATACTCTGAAGACTAAAGCTCTGATACTCTGACCCAAAGCAAAGCTCTGACAAGAAAAGCTCTGATATGCTGATCTAAGGCTCGGCTCTGATATGTTGATCTAAAGCTTCTGATAGTCATAACTCTGAGAATCTGATGTTCAAAGAAAGGCAAATAAAAATCTGATCCTGAAGAACTCTTGGAATTAAAAAGGGAAGCAATAAATTCAGGGGGAGTATCTCTCAACTCTGATATCTCTTTATCCCTTATCTTTGATAACCTCTTACTCTGATACATCTTATCATTTAGTTACCTCTGATACTTTTTCACGTTATTTTCAATTAAAAAATATCTAGTTTTTGTCATCATCAAAAAGGGGGAGATTGTTAGAACAAAGTTTGAATCTACTACCCTATGTTTAAGTTTTGATGATAACAAAATGAAAAGATATATTATTTATATGATTCATGTATGAACTATTTGCTACCTAAAAATATTACGTTCCGCCTTGCAGAAACTCTGATAGGTATCAGCAAGAGCACACTTAATCAGCATCAGAATATTGGTTCTTGACATCAGCATCAGAAGTTGCTATATCAGAATACAAGAATCAGAAGATTAACTCACGTGTATGCTGAAGCTTGATGAACAGAACTGCGCTCAACACTCTGATAAAGAAAACAACAGTTCATCAGCAGTTAAGCAGAGTCAGAATGAGCCAAGCCAGAACATGCATTAAGTAAGCAACGGTACTGTGCATTGAAAGCAAATTATTACCAACGGCCTCATTCCAGACAAGATCTGCTCAATAAGGAAAGTTTGTTATTAGCATTGAATTAAGAATATTGCTCCAACGTTCAACAATCTCAGTGCTATATAAACAAGACTATGAAGATTGAATTGGCTAATGCTCTCCAACATTTTACACGCCTAAAAGCTAATCATAATATTCCTTCTCTCAGTTTTCTAAACGCTACATATCTCCTTACTCAATCATTGTTTAGCAATCTAGTTTCATAAGCTTAAGTTGTGTATACATCACAGTTGTGATACAGTTTTGTAGAAAACATTCACACACCTAGATTTATCTTCTTTGTAAGAAAGTGTTTCCTTGACAAACCGGGCTGTGGTTTGTATCAAGAAGGCTTTAGCAGTTGTTAAAGCAGTTTGTAATATTCAGTTGAATATAGTGGATTAAGACCTCGTTGGAGAGAGGCGAAATCACCTTGACGGGTGGACTGGAGTAGTTTGAGATCAAACGAACCAGGATAAAAATATCTTGTTCATTGCATTGATTTTCAGTTTTACAATTCAACCCCCCCCCCCCCCCCTTCTTGTGTTTTTCACTTCTTCAAAGATAAGTGACTCAAGATATCCAAGGAGCATCTGGTTTAACAACAAATAAAAATCCAACAACTTTATATGAAGACAATGCTGCATGTGTTACCCAGATGAAAGAAGGTTACATCAAAACTGATAGAACCAAGTACATCCCTCCAAAGTTCTTCTCATTCACACAAGAACTCGTAAGAAACAAAGAGATTAATATCCAATACATTTGTTCGAGTGGTAATATGGCTGATCTCTTCACAAAGGCACTTCCCACATCAATTTTCAGGAAGCACTTACAATATAGTAGAATGCGACACCTTCGAGATCTTTGAAGAAGAACTAATGTGTCCTATTGAGAGGGAGCATGATGTTGTACTCGTTTTCCATTATTAAGGTTTTTATTCCAATGGTTTTTTTCCTAATAAGGTTTTTAACGAGGCAGCAAGTGTTCCCATAACTATCCTCAATAAGACTTCAATAGAGCACTATGATAAATATTTCAAAAGGGAGAGTGTTATAATAATAAGAAATTATTATATTTACTATTTGAAATATCTTGTGAATAGTGAATTTATCTTATGTACAAGATATTGTCAACTTGGCACAATAACTTAAACTTTACATTTACAATTCAAGTGTTATATATACCACGCATTAGTTTATGTAAAGACATTCAGAAACTTCAAAGATAAATAATACAGTCTCTTCTATCTCTATATTTTCTTAGTTTGTTTCAAATATTCACTTTATCTCAACATGAATGAGATTTTTATGTGGTACGAAGGAAAATTGTTAGTGTGAATTGTGTGTTTGTGGTTGGGAAAATGGCCTATAAATGGAAGAAAATAAATATAATAAATTGAATTAATTTGAAATATAATCTTATGTATTTACTTCTAAAAACATCATTCTAAACATAGAAACAAATCTTTTTTTATTTTGAATTTTGACTAAATAATGCATAAAATAGTAAAAATAAAATAATTATTAAAAAATGCCTTAAATAAAAAAAATAAAAAAATAAACTATAAAAATGCAATTTTTTTGTGATTTTTGAATATAATGTAAATAAAAAATAGAAATAAAGTTGAAAATAAAATAAAAGAAAAAGAAAGCAAAAGAAAGAGAAAAGTGAGATTCAAATTCAAGACCTCTCGCACATACCTTCAAGTCTTTACCAATTGCGTTATCTCATTCAGTCAAAATAAAATAAAACAATAAACCAAATAATAGTAAAAGACCAGACAAAATTGAGGTATGACATGTATGGTATGCAAATCACCTAATAGAGTGATGCAGATGAAATGAAAAACATAAGTCAGATAAAAGAGAAATCATGAGGGCAAATTTTAGAGTACAACAGTAATCTGAGTTTTTGTAGCTTCAAGGCTTCCAAGTTTCGGTCCTATGCTCAATCGTCATAATCATAGTTTGACCACCTTGAAATTTGAAATATGTCTTTTATCATCTTTACTAACCAAACCTTTTTCATAACTAAATTGGACTGAGGGAGAGTACGACTATTTTTAACCTTTTTTATTTAGAATTACTTAAATCTCATAAAGTATTTTACTATTCAATCTCTTTTAAGTTCTTTCTTACCTTTTTGTTGATGACAAAAGGGGGAGAAGAAGGATAAGTATTTATGCATCTAAACCTGATTGTTTTAAATTTATCCATGCTTAATTCTAAAGATTTGTTTTACTATACTTCAATAAAAAATTTAATTATTCGGACTAGGACTTAGAAGGAGTTTACAAATCTCATCCTTAAGACTTTCTGACCCTTACAAATCTCACCACGATTGTGATCATAAACCTAACATATATTTTCTATTTCAGTACAAAATAAAAATGAAGATCATAATATCAATAATTCGATGCAAATGAAAGAGAAAAAAAAAACAATTAAGTTACATTGAAAAATATAAATAAGTCTGCCTTTTAAAGATAACTTTTTATTTTTCAAATGTAATACTTAGTTACTATTATATAAATATATAGACTAATTGCTACTTATTAATTTTACATGAAGTGATAAGATTACAAGAAGCTATAGTAGAATTTCCCAATTCTGAAGTATTACCTGCCAATGGCTAACCAATATTTATCCAACATTTGAGGCAGGTCCAACCTTGTTCTGAGTCACAACCAATTCATTTTCATTACTTCTAGCTTCCTCTCTGAACTTCTTGTATATGTCACCTTGGTAAAACTCTCTAGTCCTTAAAACTAAAGTTAGAGAGACAAGTGCTCCAAAGAGGCTAGCAGCAGTGATTATAATGAAAGCCAATTTGTAGCACTCACTTCCATTGCAATTCAACTCCTCCCCTTGCTTCCTCTTTAATCCTAATGCTGCCATTTGCTTTGTGGCTTCCTTGTCATAGAGATAACCAGCAACCCTCACACTTAACAAGTATGACCCAATTGGACTTGCTACTGACCCAACATTGTACAATGTTGAGTAATATCTAAGACCAAATAGTTCTGATATGATTGAAAATAGTACTGGCCAGTTTGCTCCAAAGCAGAAACCAATAATAATGGAAGCTGCATAGAGACCATTTGGTACATTAAATGCAATTAGAAGGTGACCAAAACAAGAGAGTGTAAGGATTGATGTGAGCATGAGAGGTCTAGGGAGTTTCAACTTTGTTATGACAAATTCTGAGATAACTCCTTGTGTAACTTTACCTAGATAGATCCAAATTGCCATTAGTGAAACAAATGTGGTTATACTATGTGCAGGATATCCTAGAGATAACCCAATCTGACTCAAGTTATTTACCACAGTAAGGGTTCCACCAAGTCCACAAATTGTGGCTACAAAGAGTGTCATCATGTCAAGGCTAAAAATGGCTTCAACTATTGTATGATCTTCGCCTCTACGTATGTTACTCTCTTCTCCACTAGCTTGGTGAGTCTGTGTGATGATATTCAAAGGCTTAGGAGGACTCATGTTCTCTTTTTTGTTCCTCCAGATCCTTTCTTCTTCCATAATAACAACAACAAGAGGCAGGATAAGCAAGAGAACCATGACAGTGGTAGTCACATAGTACTCACTCTTAGTAAAGATGAAACACTTTTGTACTATGATCATTACCATGAGGAATCCTGCAAGGATTAAACTCATGTAAAGGAAATTATAGAAAGCTTTGGAATCATTCGGTTGTTCACCTCTCTTGTGGTGTTTAATAACCGGCATAAAAGCAAAAGTCACAGCAGTTGGTAGCCAAGCCATAAGCAAAATCAAAGACTTAGAGTCGTCTCCATAGAAGGCATAGTATAGCTGAGTGATGATAGCTCCACTCAAACCAAGATAGCCGCTCAAAAGGCCTATCACAACGCCTCTGCTACCAGGGAAATTCTTTACACTTGTGACTAAAGCACCAGTGTTGGTTGAACAATGAGAGTTGGCTCCAATGAATATGTATAAGCACATAGTCCATATTGCAGGCTTGGAGATTTTTCTTGTGACTGCAAGCCATATCATGAAATACCCGAAAAAGTTTAGAACACCACCAATGGATAAGATAACCCAAGGGGGTGTAACCTCATTCACAAGGCCTGAAAGAATGCCTATGTTAGAACCTAAGTCCTTGAAGAAGCTTAAAAGAGTTAGAGTAGATTGGTCATATCCCAAAACTGATTTTATTTCTCTTGAGTATAGCCCAAACATGTAGCTTGCTCCAGATACAGACATGATCATAAATGATGAAAACACCATAAACCACCTTCCTGTTAGGACTTGTAGGGTCAAGCCTTTCGTCTCTCCCCACGCATGCTTACCTGAAAATACCATTTTTTTTCTCTCTCTCTCTCTCTCTCTCACTAGATAGCTTACAACTTAGCTAGTAGTAACATTGTTTTTCTCTCGAGCTATAAATACTTACAAAGATGACGATTTCTCTCATCAACTTGGAATTTTTCATTGCTCCTCGAATATCATTTAAAGAATAAAATATAAGCAATTTCTATAAGCATAAAAAAAAATTATACGTTTATCATATTTTCATTAAAAATAATAAAAATCACATCTAAAAAATTGTATCTGTCTTTAATTTAATTCTTTACAATTTTTTCAAAACAATCTATTTTATTTTCCTTTGGACTATCAAACAAACCTTAAGATGCGTCGTAGCAATAATTTCACATGAGATAACACCATAATTATAAATAAGTGGTGAGTAGTCCTTACTTTTAAGAGTTAGTTTTAAAGACGTTGAGTATGTCTCATCAATAATGTTTAGAAGTCAACCGAAAATTTTATGATGAAATCTCTTAAAATAAAATAGAAAATATATGGCTTATTAAAAAATAGTTTTGTCTCGTTCAAGAATCTGAATTAGATGCAATTGAAGAATTAATGATCTCGAATAAGTGGTGTTGATCTTCAATGTGGTATGGTAGAGTGGATATTCATAGTTAGTACTCCAAATATCAAGTTAGTTCTAAATTCAAAATGAGTATAGTGAAAAATGGAGATTAAAGAGTGTACATTGCTTTTTGTGTGAATTGAATTTATACCTTGGATTAGGTGAAATGAATTTGTGGTGAATTGGACTTCAACTATTGGGCCTTTGGTTGGCCCTTAACAGTTGCTCCTAAGGCTTTATCGGGCAATGAGGTAGTCAGGGGAGCCTTTAGTGATTTTGCCTGGGCTCTAAGGATGTTGTCCGATTATGAAGGAAATAATCAGAATGTTTGGATTCAATTGAAAAAGTAGTAAGGAACAAGTGAATTAAATGCATTTCCATCCCTGAAACGTTTATTCGCCTTTATCTGACACTTGCGCTGGTGCGATAAGTTAGGGCATGATGCAACTTACAATCCACTCGAGTGCACTCGAGTTTGCATGTATTCCCAAGGAGAATTGTAGTTGTTTATTGCATACTTATTTCTATTGCAAATTTGGATCATTCAATCATCTTTTGTTTATAAATAAGTGGGAGTTGAATGTTGAATTTTTTTTCACATTCCTTGACATTCAAGTTCACTTTATTAGTAAATGTCATCTCCTCTTTCTTCCAGAGGGTGTTAATCAGTGATTGTAACTTCTCTATCAAAGTTTTTGTCTTACTCCATTCACTTTGTTTTGACAATCTTTTATAACCAGATACCCTTCTTCCTTCAAGCTTTTACCTTTAGTATTTCCTATTTTTCAGTCAAGATGAGTTATAGTAGCGTTAACCTAGTCAGTGATTCAGAGAGAGATACTTCTTCTACTACGAGAATAGGGACATCCCTTGATTCTCACCTCTCTCTTCTTGCTCATGATCGCCTGGAATTAGAAGTCATATCTTTATCTGATGATTCTAACCCAGAAAGAGCATTTGGGAACTCTCTAGAGGATGAAGCTTCTTCGTTCGACTCATTTGAAGCCCTCTTATCAGATGAGGGCGGAGAGGGGAATCGTATTGAAGTCCTTATGCCGCCTTCTGTGTTGACTAAAGAGGAAATACAAGCTATCAAGTGGATGAGGGAACATGCTGATGATTTCGGTCAGCTCTTCTTGCAAATTAATAATTGTGGACCCAACAGGTAAGGACTTCACGCATCCTTCTGTTCAACTTTTTATGCCCCTTCCCATTTTGAATGAGGATGAAATACAAGCTATCAAGCGGATGGGGGAACATGTTGGTGATTTTGTTCAACTGTTCTTGCAAACCAATAATTGTGAACCTAACAAAGCTAAGTTGAAGGCCCACTTGGATCTTCGAGGTAGGTCAAATGTCATGACGTAGATCACGCCCTACGAACATTCTAAAATCGACCTTCTGGATGAGAATGGTTTGACGTTAGTGAAGTCGACCGATGCAGTGAAGTACGGTTGGGTGAAGGACGAGGTGGTAGGTACCTTGTCAACCCTGAATATTGAAGAAGTAATAGAGGCTACCAGCATTGTGGTTGGCGATCCTCGGGATTGGTCGATCCTTCTAGTGGACCTAGATATGAGGATATACAACTCTTTTGATGGTTCTGTGATCCTGCTTCATGAGTGTCTATTTACAAGGATAAGATTGTGGTTTCCTTTCGATGACTTTAAAGTGTTTGTCCTAAAGTATTTGAAGGTCGCTCCTTTCTAGATTTATCTGAGGTTATAGGCTTATATGAGGGTGTATTCCAGCTATATGCCGAGAATACATCTTGAAACTTATTGCTCAGGTTATTTTTCAACTTATTTTATCTGGTTCACACTTCTCAAGACGACTAGTGAGACCGCGGGCTCATTAGCTTCCACACGAATGACCCCTAGTTTGAACACTTCGCGTAGGACTGAGGTGATTTTATGGGGTGCTTATAGATGGTGAATCCCCTTACCATAAAGGCTCATCTTACCTTCTACCACTCCCCTGACGAGTCTTCTCGTTTCTACAAGAATGTTTTTGTAGTATTGGTCATCATCTCATTTCTGTCGAGATGTCATTTTTTACCATGCTAAAATAAATCTCTTTTTCCCTTACGAGGAAGCTATGAAAGAAGACCTACATTCCTGGTTTCAAAGGCTTGGTTATGAAGAAGGATTCTGGCTAGGCGAGGTGCCTTCATCTAGAGTGAGGAAGAAACAGATTGACACTTACGCATCTTGAGTGTGAATAACCGAGAGGAGAGGGAAGAGATTTTTGATAAGGATGGAGTCTTGTACTTTATTATTATTATTATTAGGGTTAATACGTTTTTCGTCCTCGTAAGTAACCCAACATTCAATTTTATTCCCTAAAAAAAATTTCTTCAAAGAATGACCCTCCTAAATTTTTTCGTCCACAATTTTGATCCATGCCATCTATTTGATCTAACAGAAGCTGATGTGGCACGTCACTAGCATGCCATGTCATTCAAAGTTAACATCAAGTTTGACTGCAAAAAAACGCTTTAGATTGCGGGGGTTTCAAACCTTCCTAAGATAAAATTAATTTCAAAAAAATTTCTTCACCTTCTTCCTCATTGAAGGTAAGTTAGTTACATTGTTGATTGGTCCATGCCGGTCTTCCCCGTTCAATACTGCTTTTTTAGAATTAGCTACATATGGAACGAACCTTTCTGCAATAGTTTCATGAAAATGATCTTGCATAGATGATGGCTTAGAAGTTTGACTCAGTAACTCTCCATTTAAGCCCCTAGCTCTCACAACTTGATGATAAAATGGAATAGAGCATGGTTGAATTCTGGTGTCGATTGTTGCAAGGAACCTTACTAAAAATTTTACTAGATGACTTTCACAACCAAAGTCCACGTATGCAATCCATCGATCGCGCGTGGCAAAATATTTTCAGTGTGAGGGTGTCCGTGAAATAATCCAAATTCCAACAATTGTCTAAGGGTAGCACTCACTAGGGGTGTTCGCGGTTCGGTTTGGATCGGTTTTAAAGCAAAAACTCATCCGATCCAAAGATTAATTCACTTAAGGTTCGGTTCGGTTTTGGATGATATATTTAAAAAAATCCAATCTGATCCGATCCAATTTTATGCGGTTTAATTTGGATCGGTTTTTGGATATCCAAATTACACATTATATTTTTATTAATATTATAAAACTACTAATAAATCATAGATTTGATATAATATATAACGTATAGTATATTAAAAGTTAATATTACAAAATGAGAGTGATTGATTCTGCTTGAAATAATAAAAATAAATAGATTATACCAAACTAATAAATATTATTAAAAAAATTATTATCATCTAATAATAAATTCACATAACATGTCATACTAATAAAAAGTAAATAAGTATCAAAATATATTTATGCGGTTCGATTTGGTTTGAATCGGTTTTGAAAAATTCATCCGAAATCCAATCCAAACCGATCGGTTTTCATAAAATAACATCCAAACACAACCAATAACTTTCGGTTTTTTATGGTTTTCAATTTTTTAGATCGGTTTTCGGTTTTTTATTTGGATTGGTTTGGATTTGAACACCCCTAACACTCACACCAATTGGCTAGGAAAACTATATACTAAAAAGAACACACTAAATATGTATAGAAACTTGCATATTTTATGCTTTAAGAAGTTCAAAGAAGACAATAAACTACTATGACAACCGATAAACTAGTATGACAAACAATAAACCAAGTCATATCTTCCTATCATAATTAGGAGCAATAAAAAACTAAGTAAAGGACTTAAATGCATAAAAATCTAAACATAAGATAAAATTCACCCAATAAGATAAAGTTCAAACCGCCTTGATACATTCCATGCAAGATGACTATTATTATGGTAGATCTAAAAATAAATGTAATAAATACTCCAGGCTGGTACTACGCCAAAAATAAGTTTTAGCAGCACATAAAAGAAAGCGCTTTTAGAAAAAAGCGTTGTTGTAGGTTTTTTTAAAAAATCGCTTAAAAAAGCGCTTTCAAAGGGTGCCTTAAGAAAGCGCTTTTCAAAAGCGCTTCTAAAGGTCACCCTTAAAAAGTGCTTTTTGGGAAGCGCTGCTAAAGCTGGCCTTTCAGAGGGTACCTTAAGAAAGCGCTTTTCAAAAGCGCTGCTAAAGGTCAGCCTTAGAAAGCGCTTTTCCAAAGCGCTGCTAAAGCTGATCTTTAGAAAGTACTTTTAAAAGCGTTGCTATAGAATATGCTACGAAAGCGCTTTTTGATGTAAAAGCGCTGTTATAGATGACCTTTAGAAAGGGCTTTTAAAAGCGCTTTCGTAGGTAGTTTTATAATAAATATCAAAACACAATTCGTATCACTTTTCTATTCTCAGTCAGATTTTCTTCACGAAAAAACCCTAAACCAGAGCTTCTACGACGGTCAACGGCGCTCCACTTCTCCAGCCAACTGCAATTCTCCGGCCACTTCTCGAGAGGTTGGTAAGCGATGCAGAGAAACCGTTATATACCTATTTCTGAAGAATATATAATTTAATATTACTTCTTCATTTTCTTCCTTAATTTCTATTTTTTCTATCTTTTCTTTTTCTATTATTTGCAGTTGTTCCACAAGTTTCCATAACTCATGCCTAATATTGGAGAAAAATGGCGCCTTGGCATCCATCTTTGCATCACGTATCAACCACCAATCTATCACCCCTGCACCTTGGCATCTCTCTCAGCTCACGTTCACGTGGTCACCAAAGCAAACCACCACCACCACCTCACCTTGGTATCTTAACAGGTTTATTCTCAAACCCTAAAATGCGAATTTATGTTTGCTGTTACTTTTATGTTTGCTGTTACAATGAGGTTTTGGTACATTCTTTTGATTTTGCAAACAAGGTGTTTGCTGAAATGTCACAATGAGTTTCTGTTTGTGATATGATTTTGCAAACAAGGTGTTTGTTGAAATGTCACAATGAGTTTCAGTTTGTGATATGATTTTGCAAACAAGGTGTTTGCTAAAATGTCCCAATGAGTTTCAGATTCTTACATTGATTGATTGTGATTTTTGATGTTGGAGTTATGTAATTGACTTGAATGAAGAAAATTAAATTGTAAAAGTGGTGTGCGGTTTTGTTAATTGATTGTTGTAGTTGTTTAGTGAATGATTAGGTTTTGATTATGTTTTTGTTACAATTTTTTTGGTGAGTTGAGTTGAATTCTGTTTGGGATTTTAGTTAGGGTTTGAACTTAACTAGCAGCATGTTTCACATGTAATTTCTAATATTTTAATTTTACTTCACACCATTGTAGATAACACTTGATTTAAATTACGGCTTCAGCTCATGTGTTATAAATTGAAGAAGTCACAATTGAAGAGTCACTTGCAGCAAACATAAACATGACGTATATGCTTGTCCTCTTTATGTTTGTTAATTATTTTATTTTGAGAATGACCAATTTATGTTGTTCTCTGGTGCTTGATTTACTGCACCAACATTTCAGTTACGTTTCTGCAACAAGTTGTATCACTGCAGAAGTTTGTGTCAGATGCACATAAAGGTAAGCATTTATGAACTTGGATATCTTCTGCTACTACAATTTTGGTTGCTGCGTTGATTGCCTATATTTCTAAAGGTCACTGAAATGTTGTCTTATTTATTTTAGAAGATTAGTTTTTGTAATAGGATCAAGATATACCTTGATTTTTAGCTAAAATGTCTTGATCTTTATTAATGAATTACTTTTGTTTTGACATATATTCACTTTGATGTGTATGCAGTATGTCTTTTTCATTTTATATAGTTGACTTATTTCAACCACTACATGGATTTCACTGTTTGTTCGTAGTTTTTTTTTGTAATTTCACATGGTGGATTTTCTATTTTCCACAATTCTCCGTTGAAAATACTATTCATATGTTTACATATTGGGATATGCATCAACATTCTCTTTTGTTTTATCAGGTATGGTGGGATCTATCTAGACTATGATATCATAGTTTTGAAGCCAATTTCTTTTCTTAATAACTCTGTTGGAATAGAGGATCATGCTGCTGGAAGTTCTTTGAATGGTGTTGTGATGGCTTTTGGAAGGCAAAGGTATTCTTAGTGTGGTTCCTATCTTGCAAAGACAAAGAGGAATTGCCAAACTTCCAACAAGGGTATTCATTTTGCTTTGCATTTACACATGATGAAAGATCAAAGTAGGAGCGTAGAGAAAATGAAGGGATTTTTCCATTGATTATGGATTTTTAGATTATTGACAATTTTTTGGATTTGTGTTGCTTTTGATTTGATGTTATTATTATGAAAGAAAAAGAAATGGTGATGAGATGGCATATTCCATGCGTTTTCAGTGAGGAAGAGGAAAGAGTGTAGAAAAACGATTTTGAAAACACCCTATGAAAGCGCTTTTTCAAGAAAAACGCTGCCTTAGGTAACCTATGAAAGTGCTTTTTCACAAAAAGCGCTGTCTAAGGTAAACATATGACAGCGCTTTTCCAGAAAAAAGCGCTGCCTTAGGTAGACCTATGAAAGTGCTTCTTCATAAAAAAGCGCTGCCAAAAGCCTACTTAAGAGAGCGCTTTTTAGAAAAAGTGATGTATTAGGTAGACCTACGAAAGCGTTTTTCATTAAACAAAAAGCGCTGCTAAAACCTATAGCAGCGCCACCTTAGAAAGCGCTTTTAAAGGCCAAAAAAAGCGCTTTCGTAAGTCTTTTTTGGCGTAGTGTGGATTAAATTGTTACAAACAATAAATATTAAGAAACTAATTTGGTATCTAACACAAGAAGAAAAAGAAATAAAAAATAATACAAATTTTACTGATTGTGGAGCATGAACTTGTCTAAGCAGCAACAACAACATCATTTCATGAACAAGGTAGTGATGATTTATAATTGTAAATTTTTTTTCTTTAACAATTTTCATACCAAGTTAAAATCTCAACAATATGTGCCACATGGATTGAGTGGAACAACTTTAGGACCTTGTGACAGTCAATTTGTAAGTTTTGAAGACCTTAAATTTTGTATCTACACATCTTCTAATATAAAATTGCATAATGATTGAGTATAATTATATATACAAAATTGTGCATGATGCAGGCCATAAATTTTTTTATGAGTTCCAGCTTGACTGTGCAAGGACTAAAGATGAAGAACAGTCCTCAGTTCCATTGAGTGTTGTAATGTGTGCCTGATGTGAATATCTAATGTGTGTTGTGTTTGTGAGCGTGTATAATCATTTTCTTTCTGCGCAAACTGGAATATGCATATATAATCATTTAGTTATCATGGAAAATATACACGATATTTCATTTATTATCATCCCTTCTATATGCAATGAGTTTATAGAACAAAATCCTACCACTCTAACCTATGTCAGATATGGCTCAAACAATGGCAATTGTGTCATTTACCACATCCTTGATCAGACATGCTAGTGTAATGAGCTCTAATCGAAATGACATCCGAGACTAAAATGAAAAACTTTTTGTAAGAAGATTATCATTCATTCACATGAGTTTTTTGAGAGTCTTAGGCCTGTGATTTTATGTTGGAAAAGAGTTGGTTAAATTATGTTCACAAAATCCTACCTGTATTACACATATGGTGATTCATGTTTAAATAGTTAAACACCTATACAAACCTTTGAATTTCAAACTATTAACAAACAATTGGAATTTATTGTCTTTTTATTCCTGTTATTTTACCAAAAAATTGGAATTTTTAAAATTTTATTTTAGTTTGGGGTGGTTTAAAACCCCCACAATCTAACATGTTTTTTTCATTTGTCTTTAAATGACATGGCGTGCAACGTAACATGACATGTCAGCTTCCGTTAGACCAAATAGACGTCAATGACCAAAATTATGGACGGAAAACTTTAGGAGGACCATTCTTTGAATGAAATTTTTTTAGGGATTAAAATTAAAGGTTGATATATTTATGAGGATCTGAGACATATTTAACCCTTATTATTATTGTTATTATTATTATTGATATTATTATTGATATTATTATTATTATTATTATTATTATTATTCTCACAAGTATGGTTGTGTTATCCAGATAACATGGATAAGTTGCAGATGTTCTTTAGTCTTTCCAATGCCTAAGGCATCAACGATGGATCTTCTGGCCGGGTTATGATGCCTTCCCCCCAAACCATTGTTCCTGCTCCGACTAGCGAGACCGTTACTGTTGTTGTTGGGGTTGAACAACTTGTTACTATTGTGGCTAGTTTAATTGTGGAGGAGGCGTCCTTGTCCTCAGTTTTAACAAAGAGGGATCAGGATAAAGACTAACACTTCCCAGGAAGAAGGTTCTCCTAAAAAAAATTGTCTTTCTGGAGATGATGCTTCACGGGAGATAACTCTCTTCCTGCGGATGCCTGGCATTTTTTGTCTTGGCTAATGAGGATGTTGCTACTATTGTATCGATGTCAGACATATCCTTCATTCAAAATTTCTCTGAAGCGGAGAAGATGGAGCTTGTCTCTAAGATCACCCACATCATGTACCAGAATGCTTCTCTGTTCTCTCTTGTTGCTGTTGGCAGAAGAGACGTCCTGGCTGTTGGCAATCCCTTCAAGAAAATGGACACTTGGAAAGGGAAATGTGAAGCTATGGAGCGGAAGTTATCTACTCTTCAGAAGTATTTGGCTGAGTTGCGGAAAAAGGTCAGGCTTACTAACTCTTTACAATAGGAGGCGAATAACCATGGCTCCCATTCTACAGGCGTTTCAACTTGATTGTTCATCTCATTATCTTTGTTATTTTCTTTTCTTCCTATAATATTTTACAGGCCATTGTGCCTTGGATAATATCTATAAAAGTATTTTTACCTTAGTGGGTTGCATATTATTTAGCTTTAAGTTCTAGATTTATCTCCATTTTATTGTTGTTGTTCTGCTACAACTTTTGTTGTTTGTAAGTTGTTGTAAGCCAAGGTTTGCGGGATATCCCTACAATATAAGGTTTGTGGGCCACATGGGCATTGTCGGTGTTCACCGGTGAGTTACGAGTCTACGCCATTGCAACTATGAAGGGTTGTATGCTTTTGGGTGTAGGAACACTGATTGCTTTCCTTTAAGAGTGAAAGAGGTGCCTCATTGCGATAAAATACTTGATGTGCTCTTCGCACTTTCCTTGAAATGGTATTTTTGATTTGCGACTTAGCGCATTGAACTATGTTAGCTACCATGCCTAGTTCTTGTTTTCGTTCGCTGTAATTAGCATTCGTTGATCCAATGCGTATTAACTTTCCCCATGGTGGGGTCTGGATTTGGCGAGATATGTGTACATCTCTTTGTTATGCTCTGCATAACATAGGATTGTTCCCTGACCAAGGATAGGACCCTCGTTCATTCCCTCGAGGCTTGGCTCAGATCAAGGTGGACGTCTCTAGGCTTCACCACTTAACACCCTTGGATTGACTAGATATTAAGAGAGTGTACCAGCTACACTGAGAAGAGTGTTTCTTTATTGTGAATTATGTCTGAAAAGACTAACTCACATCATCATGCATGGAACGCACAATATTCTTTATGATTGTAGCATTTAACAATTAGGATATCAATTACCAAATAGTGTAACGACGTTATAGAACATATAACTAATAAATGTGGAGATAAGGATAGGATGTCCTTTTCTCCTATCATATTTTCATTTGTTGGCTAGGGCATCGGTGCAACTGGCCTCGTCTTTGTCTACCTGACGGGATGAAGGACCATTTCGAATGTCTCTAGGTCTTCCTAATTGACTGACAACACATATGGTGGTCAATTTCATTGTGAATGTTTCTTAATGACAACCACGAATACTCTAAAGCCACATAACTATCCTTCTAAATACTCTTACGTGACACCTTTTTGACCGATGGGGTGTTGACACTTGAAACAACCGGTGAAAAATCATCTAAGATAAAAATTCAATGAAGTCGCCATTGAACGTCTTTTAACCAACATGATGGGAAAGGTAAACATCGAGAAAACCCGGAGGGGTGAAATCATAGTCTTGCGACCAAAGAGATCAGGTAAGGAAGTTGGTTACGCGAGGGGAAGGTATTAGCACCCCAAATGTCGGTGGTACTCCACAGGATCCACTTATGTTGTTCTAATCTAAGGGTGTGAGTTCTATGTCTAAAGCTTAAGAGCTAAAAAGATATAAGAGAGGGAATGCATACAGAAGGAAATAGAAAATAATGTAGGGAAAATAAAAATTATGCTCGTTCGGGCCCTACCCAATGCCTATGTATCCCTTTTAAGGAATTAGAACAGTCGTAGTTTGGCTCCAAAAGTTTTGTTGGTTTGTATTTTTTAATGAACAATATTAATTATGTCTTCTGCCACAACTCGACCTTTGGAGACTTACGCTTCAGCACAGAAGTGAGTTAACATGTTCTTTTGAAAAAAGTTTTGAAAGAAAAGCCCATAGGAAAAAGAGTTTGTGTTGGTTGATTTTTTTTGCTGCAGATAACAACTAGTTGATCTCAAGAGAGAGATATTAGCCATTTATCCACTTATTCATGAAATAAGTCTTTGAGATTTGAACCACGCCAAGGCTTAGAATTGAAGAACAATAAGATCGAGAAGAAACCCGCTTATTCCCAAGCTCAACAAAGATATGATTCTTATCAGTAATTTTTAAGGTGTTTTGAAGTTTGCCAGAAAAAGAAGTTGGTTTAAATGCAAGGATGCAAAAGGAGAAATAAAATTCTAAGGGGAGACTAACCTAAATCTATCCTTAATGATCATACAATTATTGATCCTATAGTTTGAATTTGAAGGGCAATTTCTACCCTATGTTGGCATATATGGATATAATCCTAAGGTCTATTCAATTCACACTTGCAGTAGAGTGGATTGAAAACTTAAGGGGAGCATATAAGAAGTGGGTCTACTTAGAGAAGAGGAAAGAGATGGCTAAGCATCAAGATCAGTCAACACTATCAAACAAAGCAAGGGATGAAAATCTTAAGCACACCAAGAGAGGTGGATAAGAAGTAACCATGATTGGATAGGAGAGAAAAGTGCTTGAGGTATGAGAGAATGAGGAAAGATAAATCAAACCCTAAACATCTAAACACAAGCAAATGGTTAAGATGAAACCCTAATATGTTCCCTAATCAAAATTAATTTGGAACAAATGAAGAAAAGTTTGTAAAAATTGATCCAATTAAAACCTAACTTTCTAAAGACTTGTAGAAATCAAAAACACGATTAATAGTCCTTGAATTTAATTGAGGGGTTAGAAATGATTAGGAACTACGAAGACTAGTTAATAAAAGGGTCAAACTAGAGAGTTTTAGTATAATATTTGTGGAAAAATGCAAAATCAAAAGCTAAAATCAACAAAAAAATTTGATTTTTATGGTTGTAAAGCATCCAAGGAAATTAAACATATTTTCTTTGATTTTTCAAGTAGAAGAAATTAGGTTTTAAAATATTTCTTAAGGCCTAAGCAAAAAGAAAGGTCAAAACTAAAATTAGTTTCTAAAATTTAGAAAAATAGGAAAATAAAAATGTAAAATCAATAAAAAAATTATAGTAAATTGGTTTAATACCTAAGGGTTAGTAAAATTATTTTTATGGAATTTTATTGTTAGAGGAGATACCAAAAGAAAATTATTTTCACACAATACCAAAAAAGTAAAGAAAATAAGAAATTTCCAAAGATTGATTTTATTTTACTATCACAAATGTTAATAAAATCAAACAAAAATTATTTCCAAGAATTATGTTCAACATGGAACCTAATATATTTTTTGGAGATTTTTTATATTAGTGAAAATTAGAAAATAAAACTTTAAAACCTCAAAAATGATTAAAATCCTAATTAAACTAATTAACTTATTTAATCATATAGAAATGATGAAAATATGAAATAAAAATTCATAATATGAAAATATACTTAAAAAGAAGTTTAGATATTTTTTGTGATGATTTTTGAATCAATAAAAATATTAAAACCAAATTAAAGAAAACAAATAAAATTGAATGAAAATTCAAATAAAATGGGATCTACTACACCTGTTTCAAATAAAATGTGCTGTAAAAGAAGCTTAGTTCATGTTCAATTGAGAAATGCCACATAATCGTCCCTGTAATGATGAACTATGCGCTAACACAAAAACATTTATGCATGGTGATGTTCACAACTTGATATCTTCTTCGATTCTTGATGAAAACATACGAATTTGCAACCAAATTAAAGATCTCATAAAGTATATCATCATAGGATCAAGAATTTTCAAAAATGATTCATGAAGTATGGAGAAAATCGCGCGTGAAAATTACTGAAATCAACATATTTTTAATTTTCAAAAATAGAATTCAACCATGCTACTTCAGATCCATTGATCTCTCTCATTTCTGAACCAAATCACTTGATCCAAACATCAAGTTCATTATGAAAATGCAAAGAACAACAAGATGAACATATATTTCACAACTAATGCAAGATTAAGCAGAAATTTGAGCATGAAAGCATTTTTCAATCAAAGTTAAATTAACTTGCAGAGCACGAATTCATCATCAAATCACTCATGTACATACTTCAGATCTAAGATCCGGCCAGCTAGCATGATTAAAACAAGATCTACATTGCAAATTCACAATGAAATGATTATTTGAAGTTCATGAAAATTTACCTCAAGTAGTGAAAAGTAAATTCACTAGGTTCCTCTGATACAAGCTAGAAACCCGATGAATCTTCTCCTTTAAGCTTAAATGATGATGAATTGATGAAGAATTTGTAGCTTGAAGCAAGAGAATGGAGAGAACTCTAAAATTTGTTGAAGAATGAAGAGAGAATTTGAAGCTTGTGAGAGAGAGTGAGGGAGCGTGTATGATGTTTTTTTTTTGTGATGAGGGTGAAGAAGAGTTTATATAGAGTGCAGAAGAGTATTGAGGAAGTTTTGCTAGGGGTAGAAAGGTCTTTGGAGGTTTAGAGCTATTAGAGGGCAATGCTGGAAGTTTGCAGCAGATTTGAGTGAAGTAAAGCAGCCTACGTTTCATGCCTTATTGCTGACCATTTTTGTGCGTTTTGATGAGTGAAAAGGGAGTGGGAAATGAGTATTATGTGTGTGACAAATCAGGCATGTTTCAAAAGTGTAAATGTTATGCTGAAGCTTATGACAAAACATAATATAAAGCCTCATTCCCCTAAACATAACTCTAAGAGATCTTGATCAATTAGATCAAGATTGTGCTTAATGGAAAGAGAAAAGTAAGGGGAATAACTCTCATGTTGAAAGAAAATTGAGTTGAAGCTTAGAGATGCCTTAAATCTGAGCATGAAAACATGATGGTGATGACTGGTCAATCTTGACTGGGCAGGCCGCGCGCATGGCTTGCATGCTGGTAACTTTGTCAACTTTGCAAGCTCAATTTCCAACGATGACATCTTCTTCATTTTTTTAGCCAAATGGCATGATTCAAAGAGCCAAATGAAGCTTGCATATCCAACTACAATTCCCCTTTGACCGATTTTCAAATTAAAACTTGAATCAAAAGATGAACCACCATGAACATGGGCATTCCAAGTGTTTGATGTAACGATTGTACTAACGCGCACACGAGACAAATATTTTGGCCAGAAAGATAGCATCTCATGCCCTTATGTTCATTCCATTGTAACTCTCACCATAATGCTCAAAATGAAATTATCTTTAATTCAAAATTGAAGAGGACACAAATATCTCCAACTTTGATGTTCAAACATTTTTTGAAATTATGATCAATTCATTAAGAAAATGATGGTGAAGGTGTGCCCACCACATGTTTGATGAAATTTCGCGCGCGAGGCCTCCTTTGCTGGGCAAACTTGCCATCTTTATTCCCTAAACTCCTAAGCATAATAACTCACAAATGCTTCACTTTTGAGGTTTGAGCACATATTAACAAACTTGTAGGCTTTTTCTCAAGATTTCTAAGCATATAGGATTTTCCCCCATTGGATGAAAAATAAGAGAGTTATGAATGTCCACAATTCAGTACTATAGGACTTAAAGACTTAGAATTTTCTTTCTAAATATCCAAATACCTTCTTGAACAAGTTATCTCCATTTTGATCTTTTCTCTTGATTTTGTGACAACAATGATCATGAAATATGAAAATAGAATACTTGAATTGATGGTTGACCAAAAGTCCACTTGGTCAACTTTGACTTTGGTTGACTTTTGGTAAAAATGACTATTTTTCCCCTTTTGATCAATTGAACTTCTTTCAATCAAAATTGATGGTCAACCTTCCATTCATAGATGCTCATAAACATGTTAAGGAGCATGGAATCAAATATTGCCCAAGAAATCAAAGATTTATTGATTAAACCAAAAATCCTAATTTTGGCTCTCTGTGTTAGGAGATGATGACCAAGCTTCAAATCCCTCATTCTCCTGGACAAATTGAGAAATTCGTTGAACAAAGATGTCTT